ACTCTTCATTGCCCGGTCTGCCCGGGCAAGCCATGCCCGGTCGGGCACTCCACATAAATTGCAGTTCTTGGCTATCAACTCTTCCGAATCTACTAAAAACACGTCCAATTGCCTAGAAACGCTTCATATTCCTGAAAAGCTTACTAAAACAATCGAATACACTAAAGAAGAGATTGTTAGCAAGAAATGGCTCCGTAGAGCTCAAAACCATATAAAATTACTAAGTAAAACCGGGGAAAACCATTGTATAAAACACGTATATCATAGCTCTAACCGAACTTTGCACAAGTGTATGTACACCTCAAAGAGGTCTTTCAAGGGTTGTAATGTGGTTAAGTTGATGGTTTAAGGAAGAAAGGGGTAAAAGGCTCAAGACCCGAGCTAAGCCCCCAAAATATGCAATTGTGTATTTGAAAATTTGAACTCTGCAAGTTTATTTTTCATATATTTTTTATTTGAATTTTTTTTTTTTCAATCAATGTTGGCGATCTCAGATCATGCGGTCCATCACTCACTTAGCATTCATGTTTCTCAGGCACGGTACCAAGCACTCGATGTCATAAGAGTCCCTAAAGTCATTCAACCCCTTCAGCATTAATTTCTGGGTGGAAAGGGAAATGTGTGTGAAGTAAGGGGTGTATTCGTCTTGAAGGGAAGAGGACGCCTCACCTTGACCCCTTGCAGGGGAAGCGGGCTCCTCATCAGGTTTTTCAGACGGCTCCTGTTCAGTTTTGGAGCCGCCTGAGTTAGAGGTTGAGGTTGTGAGGGAAAAAGAGTGGGAAGACCCCTGGTCAGATTCAGTTTCTTGCTGACCAACCGGCATTGTAATACCCCGTATTTTTATACGTATTTTATTTAATATATATACACTTTATACGTACTTTTATTTAATATATATATATTTTATAAAGGTATTTAATTAACTCTAGCATTTTAATTATAATGTTTTAATTATTTATCTCATGTATATTTGGAGTATTTTACAAAAGGAAAAGCCGTTTAAATAATTAATTAATTAATAAGAAGTTGGGGTTTTATTTTAAGAAATTATGATGTTTTAAACAAGTTTAAGTAGGGAAGGGATTAAGAAAGACTAAAGAGGAAAGTTAGGGTAAAAGGGGAGATAGAGAAGGGGTATAAATATCCCTCTTATGGGGCAAATTAACTTTGCCCAGAGTGGAGAAAACCCAAGGTAAATTTTCTCTCTCTCTCCTCCTTATTTTCCTTTCTTTTTTTTTTCTCTCTTTCCCTTCCCCTTATTTTTTTCGGCTGCCCCCTTCCACCACCACTGCCAGCCGCCGGCAGCAGGTGGCCGCCGCTGCCAGCAGCACACGCCGCCGGCAGCAGGTGGCCGCCGCCGCTGCCAGCAGCCGGTGGCTGCCGTTTTCTCCCCCCTCTTTTACCCCTATTTTTCGAGTATATATATATATATATATATATATAAAACTAAGCTTTCTTGTTCTAATTTAATCTATTCTTAGATCTAAATATAAATTATGAGTTTAGGGGTTTAATTTTGATGTTTGATAATTGTAATTGTGGGAATTAATTATCAGATTTGGTTTTTAATTAAAAAGCCCCAATTTTTGAAATCCTAGGTTCTTGTTTTATGATTTATTGAAAGATTATGATGTATAATAGGGTAGGCCTTTGTTTTAAGTGTTTTAAAACCAAATTACAGCAAGTTTTAAGTATAATAAAGTGCTGGAATTTTATGTAGAACACTTAATATTGGGTTTCTTGAAGTAATTATTTTAAATATAATTTCAGCTTATTCTAATTGATTTATGAAGGGTTTTAAAATAATATATATTGCTGGAAATTTGTTTAGAGTGGATATGAATACTCTATTATGGATTTAATGTGTAGGAGACTTTGAAGTAAGCGATTTCTACTAGTTGTGGCAGTTTTAATAACGTACTCAAGGTACGTACGCGTACTTAGCATAATTTGGTGATGTAGAATCATGCTAGGTTTGGTTGTAATTGATTATAAGTAGAATCATGCTAAGGTTTATGTATGAAATTGTGAGTTTATGGTGTTTGTGATTGAATGATGAAGCATGAATTAATTGTGATGGTTTATGGATTGGAAAATTGTATTTTTGGTATGTTGTGTTTGAACCACATTTTTATTTATGGCATGTTAGAAGGCATGATTAATTAAACTACATGTTTAATTATGTTTGGAATATTGAAAAATAATTTTATTATGGTTCAAATAATTTTTATTGATGCTTTAAGCATGAGGAAGGAGCTATCTAAGTGTCTGGGTACACAAGGAATAAATTGTATGTTGGTGCCTTTGTGCACTTAAGGTGTTTTTAACACCGAGGGATAGGATTTTTGGCGCATTATGCGTTTAAGGTGTCTTTGACACTGAGGTAGAATTAAAAAGGGTTTAACATTAAACAATATGTGGTCACTAATTATTCAAGAATTAAATTGGTATGTTTGCTTGATTGAATAATTATTGTTGATTGATTTATTATGCTTTGAGAGTCATCACCAAGTCTAATAATATGTAAATAACGTAAAGTGAAAGAGATTACGCACCAAAACTCTTGGAACGTATATACCTTGAGTATGAACAATGGGGGGTTATGGGGTTTTATATTTAACCATAACTTCCAATGGAGTACAGGACGCTGTATATTCCTTTTTATTATTTATTATGCGCAGGAATTCCGCCACCTTTGTGTGGTTTGTCGCTGGCACGGTAGCTCCCGTGCTAGTTAACCTCAAATTTATTTGGGGGAGGTTAATAGGTGGAAACCCGTTCGATGCGTAATCAATGCAAAATGAATTAATTAGGGTCTAGTCATTGTATTGTGTTGATTGGTAATTGTGAACAGGTGCAGGGAGGTAAGTGTATGTTGATAGGTGAAAGCATGTTAGTGTGGCTATTTTACGCTTATGTACTCAGTTTTGCTGATTGTGTGTGTTTGTGTTTTTTTTGGCCATGTCTTTACCTTGGCCCTATGATGACCCATTTTAATGGAGAGTAGTGGAAGCAAGTAGAGACAAACTTTTCAGGTATTGAAGCATGATCATGATGGGGCATGAGTGAAGAGTGAATCCTATTAGTTTCTATTAGATTACAATGTGTTTTATGCTTTATTTATTTATGATATATGAAGTGTGGACTAACATAAAGGTTGATTTGGGAATGGTTTTGAATAAGGGCCTTTGATGGTTCCAAGTTGTAATTTGAAATTATTTGACTTGTTCGTTTGGTTTTAAACTTTATTTTCGTTTGGTTGGCTTTGGGTTGTTTTGTTTAATCGGTTTTAAATTTTTAGTCTTCCGCTGTGTATCTTTGATATTTGCCCTAGCCGTTTTCACGGTGGCGGTAATGTCTTAGTTATTCCTAAATCGTATTTTAAAAGAGTAGGATGGGTATTTTAAAGAAAGGAATTTCTAGGGTGTTACAGGCATGCCCAGAAATGAGTCTTCCGGAGTGCTTGGGGTGCCTGGTTTGTCATAATACACCTCACTCCGAGGCACCCTAATGGAGCCATCCCCCTCTTCAGTTCTAGCTGTTCCTTTAATTCTAGCCATGGTGTCCTCACAGACACAGAGACGGTTGGATTGGGGGACGGATGAAGAGTGGGGCAAACGGCACCCCTAGTCCTAGATTTAGCCGTCCCAGGTGACCGGCTGACAGCTATCCTAGGCCGTGCCGAATGTGTTTGAGAAACCATTTTATGAAAGCAAAGGAAAAACAAACGCAGGCGAAAATTTTAAAAGTTTAAACAGAAGAGAGCCAGGCGGCTACCTTGAGAAAGGTACAATTGACTTGAAATGAGCCGGTTGGTGCAGACGGACAGTAACAAGCGGCAGAGTACACAATTTTTTGTGAAAATTCTCTAGAAACTCTCTCAAATTTCACGCAAAGATGTGTGAAATGAGGGTCAAAAAATTACTTTTATAGAGGGGTAATTCCGGGGCACCTCAGTAATGCCCCAGAGGGTGAACAGTAAAATTTTACTTCACCAAATGAGACGCTGACATGTGTCACAGACGCCTCGTGGCGCGCCACGTCACCTCTGTGACAGGGGCAAATGTTTTGGGTAAAATTACCCTGCCACGTGGCGGCCTGAGAATAGGACACTTGTCCACCCAACATTAGGACACTTATCCACCCAACATTGGTTTAAACAAAACCAATGGAATACTGACACGTGGACCCCACTGTCATGTCATGGAATAGCGGCTTTCAGGCCCGATTCCCCATAACTCGTCATAGCCCACCAAATCTAGGTCACATGACCTAGAATAAGGGCACATTTTCCCATGGCCCTATAAATAGGGAGAGATTCCCCATTATGAAGGGGGATTAAATCATTTATTACATCACCTGCATTTCTCTCACATTAGAGAAAGCACCTGATCTCGGGATCTGTAAAGATCTCATCTTTACCTTTTTCCGCACTTTTTACTCACTCCTACACGTTCTAACTTGATCGTCGGAGGCGGAACTCCAACCAACAGGAGTCTCCGTTGTTTTGCAGGTACAGGCCGCATCGGACCAATCTTCGAGCTGTAACTCTCCCAAGGGACTAAAAACACCCAAAATGGATAAAAATGCAAGCATGGTATCCTGATTTCTGGCATAAATTTAGCAGTCAAGAAATGACAAGCAAGTTAGTTCTTATATGTCTAAGAATGGTTTTTCCATTTTAGTTAAGTATCACATTGCAAGCTGTCAGCAAGAAAGTTTATTCTTTAAAAGGTGTAAATTAAATAGGATTCAACAGAAGGACACACAAGCCAACCACCCGAATAATCTAAGGCTCCAATTTATTTTCCACACTGATTTCAATATAAGCCAAAAAAGAATAAATGAGAGAGACAGGAACAAAGAAAGAGCACCTGACTGGAAGTTGAGTACCTCAGCAAAGAATGAGCACCTCATCACAGCTGACTGCACATAAAACAAAGTTTGGATTAATTTACATATTCTGAGTAGAAAGAATATTTCAACAGTTGGCTAAATGTAATTTGGGTCCTGGTGAAAATAAGAATGACCCTTTGAATATTCAACTGCCACTATAATATCAAACCTCGAATCAAACCAACTAGCAACATAGAGGTTCTCTGTTGCATAACACTTTATTTAACCACTAACTTAAAAACAAAAAAATAACACAAGAAGTTAAGATAGAAAAATAAAACACTACAATGATAGTTTGTGAAATCCACAAAATAGGTTTAAATCTATTGTAATAATAATTCTAATTAAATTCTCCAGACATGTCACTTTGATGGTTCCATCCAATCCCAATCTGTGTCATCTATATCAGAACTTTCTTCTCGATTATTTCATTGTTCACAGGAACCTCAACTCTGTCATAAGCAGCTTCTCTGCACCAATTATGATGTTCAACATGACCTATAGCAAAAATTACATCCTCCGCGGGTTCACGAACTTCACTCATAAACGTTTGTTCAAATTGCCCCTCGACATAAAAATTGTCTCTTGGCAAATTTCGGTTCACATAGTACCAATCTTCTTCAAGGCCGTCTTGAGTATAGAACACTTGATGCACTTGTGATGCCAAGACAAAAGGATCATATTTTAGAGCACGATTTCTTGAAGTTAACACGAGTGAGTCCATAATCGTCTACTTCCATATGGAACCAATCACACTTGAATAACACAACACTGAAAGCACTCCAATAATCTATCTCTATTATAGACCTTATAATCCCATAGTATGTGACATCACCAAGAACGGGATTGTGATCCTTGCTACTCGCGAAGCTTGGAATCAAAGCTGTCAAAGAGACTCCACTATTTTGCGTTTTACACTTTTCATCATGATCTCTTGTGTAGAACTTATATCTATTACAAAAATATCCGATGTAGCTCTGTGCAACACTAGAAGGACCTTTGGTTAGCCACTTGATATGATCTAGGACATTATTCACCTCGACCTTTCCTCTAAACCAAACCTTGAATTCATTGCTATGCTCTTGTGCCTCTTTCCACCTTCTTTTTCGTCTATCTCTAGGCTTCTTCTTTACAAACTCTTCATGTTCCCTTCATAGTATTAAACAACCATATAAGTAAGATAATAAAACAAAAGAAATTCAAACACAACGAAAAAAGATAATCGAAAAATTACTCACTTGATGTAATTCTCAACTAGGTCATCTTCACAATTAAACAACACATAACGATGTGTTAGAGTCATTGTGTTTGAATCAAGAGTGTATGACTTCCCTTTCTTTTTCCCTTTCTTTTTCCTCCCAAGAGGATAACCTGCATTAGGGAACAAAGGTGATTCTTCATCAATTTCGTTACTTTTCTCTTGACTTTTGTTAAACCGCTTAGATTGCTTCTTTACACTTGCATTTAAATACCTAGAGCAGAATATCAAGCACTCTACAACCAAATAACCTTCAGCTATAGAAGCCTCCGGGCGACATCAATTTTTAACATATGATTTTAACTTTCCAAGGTACCTTTCTATAGGATACATCCACCAATCAGAAACTGGTCCACCACGCTTTATTTCATCAATTAAATGAATCGGTAAGTGGAACATTATGTCAAAAAAAAGATGGTGGAAATATTCTTTCTAGTTCACAAAGAGTCTCAACAATTTGTGCTTGAAGGCAATCCAAATCTTTTGGATTGATGACTCTTGCATATTTCTCTAAAAAATCCACTCAATCTCATAAGAGGTAAAGCAACATGCTTTGGTAAAGTTTTTCTAATAGCTGATGGAAGCAAGTGTTGCATTATTATATGAGCATCATGACTCTTGTACCCTGATATTTTCCCCTCCTTCACTTGCACACACCTTGCAATATTTGATGCACAACCTTGGGGCAGATTTGCCTTCTTCAAAACACTACAAAATATGCTTTTCTCTTCCTTCGTCATTGAGAATGATGCTTTGGGCAGCAAAACATACCGCCCGTCACCTGCATCTATAGGGTGTAGTTGTTCCCTTATACCCATTTCTTGCAGATCTAATCGAGCCTTATTATGATCTTTTGATCTTTTTTTGGTACCAATTATATTTTATTTTTGACAACAGTACCAATGATAATTATTACGGAGTACCATTTTTTGTTTTATACCCTTTTATATTAATTAATTATTATTATTATCTATTTTTATTATCTAAAAAATTTCCTAACACTATATACCAGCCATGTCCAAAAAATTAGTCAAGACACCCTTTTAACTGTATCCCGTATTGGTTAATTTTTGAATCGGAGGATTGGATCCTCTGATCCAGACTTGGGTACGACACCCAAACTAGAGTTTGTGCAACATAGCGGAGTAGTAATGAACCACAATCTTTCTAATCAGAACTGTCATGCTTCATGATTATTAGATATATTATGCATTTTTTTTACTATTATATTATGGATTTCTGAGCCTGCGTGGTTTTGCATTACAACAGAATTACATTGTTAATTGTGGAATTACATTCTTCAGATATGGCTTCCTTTGCTATGACATGGGTTGTTTTTTAAGTAGAATTTGAAAATCTGTAGTGGTATACTATGTTGATTGGTATCTCATTTCCTTAGGTTACCTGTTTTTGCTTGCTCTCTTCTATATTAAAGTTAGTCTAATGGGTATTGTGTGCTAAATTTTTCTGTGACATCCTGCATCTTTAGTAATAGTTTAACGGTAGCATACGATTGGATACCTGAAGGAAATGTGTCCTCAACTCTCGTGCAATTATTAATATAATATGGATCGTATTATGGAGATAATAAATTCGCTTAGTTGGGTCGTCTTTATGTCTTGCTAGAGACCAATATTGATCATTGGGTTAAACCAATGCCAACTAAATGGATCATATGAGGTCACACGTTACAGTGTTAGGTCGAACATGAATACCGAGTCCAAAAGTTAGGCTTAGTGAATGACTGACCATAAGGAGTAAGATAGGAATAAGTCTTACCCTAATTAGATAATATGATTATATATAATAAAGGGCTTGGGGAAAAAAAGAACAGACGTTCATCTCTAAAAAGAAACAACGTAATATTTTCCCTTCCTCTCTCTCTACAACCGGTTAGAAGTTCTCCATAGAAGAGGAGATTAATATCTCCCGTCCAACTAGCATTGGTGGAGGTTCGATCTACACTTGTGGACCAATATTGGAGGAGCAACAACTGGGGCTCTAATCTCCGCAAGAAGGTAGAAGAAAGCTTGGGAATTCACGCATCAAAGGTTAATTCTAAACTATTATGTGATCCTTTATTTGTATATGCATGAGATCCTGTTTAGGTGCGTGTGAATGAGATTTATGAAATTCCGCTTAGAGTACCTAAAACCCTACAGTGGTATCAGTTAGCCCCTTGCATATAATTTATTGGTCACAATAATATGATTATCTTGATGTATTTTATGTTGATTTTAATTTAATTAAGGGGAGGAATTGAATTGTGGATCGAATAACCCAATTAAAATATGATTTTGATTGATTGGAATTGATTAATTGTAGATTTAATTGCTCAATTTTTATTAACCCTAGCCGAATTTTTAGCCCTAAATGCATTAATTAATTTTCTGATTTTTGTTGTGTTATGAACCCTAAATTCGAAAATTAATGTGTTAATTTCATATTATTTGATTTATTTTCTCATACTTAAAAGGTTTTTAGTGTGATTAATTAATTCATGTAAAAGAGTTTTATATGAATTAGAAATCAAATTTTATCAAAAGCCCTATATTATTTAAAATGGAGATTTTAGATTAATTTTCTGAAATTATGCATAAAGAAGTTTATGTTTAATTTAATTAGATCACCAAATTAATTTTGCAAGAGTTGTGGAATTAATTTAACTTAAAAAAAAAGGGGAAATCAAGAAGCTGAGTGGGAGCAGCCACGGTTGGGTGGCAGAACCGCCCGTCGGTGGTCCACCGTGGCTGCTCCGGTGGTCGTCAGGGGGGCAGAGGATGCAGGGCGGCGTTTTCAGGAGAGGACAGTGGTGGTAGTGGCTGAAACGTGCAACTGTTGCACAATTCCAGCCACTGCACTAGCTGCTGGGTGTGCTGGGCTGGTGCGCCAGCCAGCGCTGTTGTGGCTGGGCAACTGCCTGGCTGCGGCAACAGGGTTCTGACCTGGCTGCTGCGGCGGCGGTGCCGTGGCAAGGCAGCCTGTTCAGTCACGGCAGTCCACTGTTTTCAGTTTTTTTTTTTTTTTTTTTTTTTTTTTTTTTTTTTAAAAAAAAAGGGGGTTTTATTTTAATTAATTTTGAATTATGAATTCAAATTTAATTATGGATAAATGTTTGAAAATCTGTTTTCAAGGAGATAAATGAGCAATTCCAATTATGGTTATTTTACTTGGTTTATGTAATTATCCATAATTTGGTTTTTTAATCAAATTAAAATTAGATGGTTATTTAATGATTAGGATGGAATTTTAAATTGGTTAAGATAATCTTAGAATATAAATGTGATTTATTTTCTTAGATTATATATTTATTTGATTTCATCTCATTCCTAATTTAAATATATGATATTTTGATTATGGTAATGAATAATATGGAGATATTATCTAATCGTGTCCTAAAATATGTGATATTTTGTAATATACGTTGCCTTAATTAAGAATATCTGATATTTTAGTTTAGGAAAAGTATGCTATGTGATTTATTATGTGGCAATTGTATGTTATATATGATATATTATAATTGCTATAAGTGACTAGTATGGCCCAAAGTTTAAATTTGAAAATACGATCTGCGTATCGTTGTCTATTTTTGTAATTTAAATACGATCTGCGTATCGTTAAGTATTTTTGTAATTTATTTTAATTATGAATTAGTTTAATTATTTAAATACTTAATTAATCCAAAGAAGAGCCCAAGATAAGAAGGCCCATGATGAAAATGGATGGAGATCCATGAAGAGTTCAAGGAGGTGCCTAATCAAGCTTAGTTCTTAGGATTAGGGGCCATACTAGCTCATATTTAATTTTATTCATTTTATTATTATTCTTAAAATGTTTATAAAGTTATTGAATGTTGTTATCAAATGCGCTAGAGTTCACTAATTTATAACAACATAATAAACTTAAGTCCCACAAATATTGAGGCTCGCTTTTCCAAATATAAAGTACTTATTAAACCCTTGATTAATAGTAATGGGTCATGCCTCCGCAGGGTATTATTATTAATATTGGGAGGTAAGGTGAAATTGCAAATTTTGCACACTTAATTTGGTCATCCTCAACAAAATCATCAAAAGCGTTTTGAATTTTGAAGCAAGGGGATAGTTGAACATATGATGTTATCTATCCAACCAAGAATTACAAGAAGTTGTAATTAGTAAAGGAGTTTATTTACCTTGAAAATGTAACCTTAAGGAAGGGCCTCCGTCCGCTTAATGCTACATAGGGATAGGATCTTGGAATCACGTTATTCATGAAGGGACACAAAATGAATATAGTGTAAAGTAGCTAAAATGATTTCAAAGGATGTTTGAATCATAAACTACTTCGATAAACATAGTTGAATTTTGTAATTATTTGCAAATATTATGTATTTATTGATTAATTTTCGTGTTATGAATATCTCCTCGATTGAAAGAAATATTGAGAAACGTTCTCAAAACTAAAAGAGTATCCATAAACCATTATCCATGCTTTGCTAAAAGGGTTTTAAAGGCTAAAAGGAGTGTTAAAACCTATTTAATAATGTCACATGTCTAATGATAGCTTCCAAGAACTCAAAAAGGTTTGAATAATTGAATGGCTCCACCATTGACTCATTTTGAAAACTTTTCAAGTGATTGGACTCGATGGAGAGGTACAAGACCTCTAAAGACAACATGAGTGCGACTCACATGAAGAACCCAATATTTTTCCTTGATCAATATGATTGAACATGGTGAATGACTTGGATTTTCATACTGTCAAATGTTGACTAATTTAAGTGACATCATTCATCACTTATTACATGCGGTATTAAATACAAGATTAAACTCCAACATGAATTGTGTTGAATGGTTTTGGCAAAATTATGTAAGATGCTTAAAGTAGTTGAGCATAGTATCATATTGAGCTTGAAAGAAATGTTCTAGATGGTTTAAATGAGAAAGGGTTAAGAAGGATAGGGACTACAATAAAAGCCAAAGGATAAAGAAAAGACAAATAAGTTGTCAATTCTTAATCACAAGGCTACTAAATTGTCAAGTGCTATTATGAATGACAAATGTTTAAATTGAGTACTGGCTCCAAGAGATTGAAAACTACCCCATAAAGTACAGTTGGAAGGTAAAGAATGGAAATGTTCCACATCAAGTAGTTATAGAAATTGATTTAGCAAAAATCTACTTATTTGACATGTGATGTCAAGATTAACTCTCTTGTTGAAGAATAAGGTTGAGTTAAAGAGTTGAAACTTGGATAAGGGAAAAGTAAATCTACAATGTGAGAAACAAATGTTGTTTTACATGTATGACTTTACATTTCACTTAACTATATATAATTTAGCATTGACATAAATAATCGTTATTAT